CAAAGTTAGAATGAATTAGTCGACGTCGATCGAGCTGCTTGATTATTCGAGAACTCGCCCCGCTCCACCGACCGCTTGGTATTATCCTCTTCTGAATACATTTTGAAAGATACTTATGATGAGCCCACAACCACATCGATTAATATTGTTGATCGACGTCGATCGATGATTGAACAACGTTTTAATGACCAGTATCCGTCGATCAGCTAAAGCTACCACACCAATCGATCGACATCGATTGACGTCGATCAAGGGCATCGATCGACGATTGATCGAATGGTGTGGTAACACTCATAGATAGCAGTGCACCCTTCTCTTTACGTCAGGCGTGCAACGCTCAGAGCGATGTCTTTAACGAAAGACTCAGGGGTCTGCGTCTACTGCGACTGCGACTGCGACCGTCAATCTGTAGCCAAACATGATGTAAAAAGCCTCGCTACAACAGAAAAATCCGAGTCCAGCTGTGGAACTCCACGGCCTGATTTAGAAGATGTAGATACTAAAAATAACAATTATAAAGTTAAAGTCTCACACACCAGTTTCTTAACACAATTTAATTCGCTTCGCGTGTATCTTACGTGTAAGTAAACCAAGCGTAAACTAAACATAAATAGTCAATGCTAAATAGGTACCCACGATACAGGATTACCTAGTGTGAGTACCAACGGATACTTCAATGAGTTGTAGTTGTTTTCTGTAAAAACTAAATAAATAATCTATATATGGAATCTTTTAATGTAATTTTCACCAACTTGTAGACGGCCGATTGACTTGAAAATTTGCACTCGTATCAACGATATCGATTTATATTTACATTATAAATGCAAACATGAAAAAAAATATAGATATTTTAGAAATCGATTATTTGGGAATCGATAAATCAGCTTACAATTCGAATCTATTTAAAAAAATCGATCTTTTTCGGAAAGAATCGACATCCCTACTGACAATAACAATAAATAAATGGCGTCAGTTTTATTGTAGGATTAGACATAAACAATGCAAAAATAATTGATTTTCAATAACTTTTTTCTCATAAATTACGCGCTTCCGCATATTGTAACTTTGTGTGTGTGCTTATAATAGTGTAACTTTTCTGTAAAAATACGTATCAACCCCCAACTCGATGGGAGTCAATGGAAAGTCGTACCCAGTTCCGTATGTCATCACTGGGTATTTAACATCAAATGGTATATTACCACTTAGTAATCTTTTTGGGACCGCTACATACATTCCGAACTCCGTTTCGAAAAACCGTTACGGAATATCTATTCGGTATTCCGTAAATACATCACACACATAAGTTTATTTCCCTTCGGAATAACAAAGCTCAGTTCAGAGACGCTAGCAATTGAGTCCATACATTCTGCCAGCGAATAAGGCCGCCGATTTTTTCTGATTGCGATTGCATTGTTGCTGTATTATTGTTACTGGATGCATCCCCTTTATACCCTTATATTGCTAGATAGTCAATATTATGTGAAAAGAGACAAATTAAGAGAACATCCAGAGATTTTTTATAGAAACTATGGGATGTCTATAAACTCTTTTTACGAGTTATTAAACTTAAAAAGAGGAAAGGTTACGAAAAGAGATACAAAGATTACGTATAAAAACATACATAAATACAACTACTCGCTTCGGTCGTGCGAAGCGACGCACACTGGGCGGGTTCCATACGGAATTTACGAATGTGTGATGCGACTCATACAAAATTTTTGGAAGACTTGCGTTTGGAACGGTTGTTTTTCTTTGCGGGATTCCGTACGTATTCACGTAGAATTTCGAATCGAAGAAAAATTCAAACAGAAAACTACTGTACGTGTGTGATAGGTCCTTGATTGATATAAAGTAATTTATATGGATTTGCTGCGTTCGAAATCCCGAATCGATATTCCGAAATGGTTTTTCGAAACGGAATTCCTACTGTATCTGGCCGACCTTACAGGTGTTGCAAAAAACGTATTATAATTATAAATATTTTATTAATAATAAAATATTTATAATTATAATACGTGTAGTTTAAAGAATTTTAATAGAGAGCATGAAAAGTTATTTCCAATTCTTGGTAGAAAAACATAATATAAAAAACATTATTGATTATTTAAATATACATCTCTAGTTTGAAAACAATTTTTTACTATGAAATTTTAAAAATATTTAACAAAAGCAACTTTTTTGTTTCCTTTTTAATATTGGGTGGAAGTTTATTAGTATATGTATAATATGTCTCGAAAGTGAAAAACGGCAAAGTCAATAAACAAAAAGAAATTGATGTGATTTATACAGGGATCTGTGTTTGGTGGGAACCATACTAAATCGCTTCCGTTTTTGCTTATAAGCTGTCATGATCCAATCATAATATTTTACTATACAATGTAGTCCTAAGTTCTAAGTATAATTTTAATCAATCATTGTAAACAACAGTTATGTTTGTTATATGCCAAAGGAGCTAACATTGCAAGATCATAAGGCTACTGCGGTCCATGAAAACAATATCAATATAAATAGAATTTGTGACCTTCTATAATTAAAGTTGGTTGCAAGTGGTTACAAGCTACAGAAGCCACTTACACTCCGGTGAACCGTAACTTCTCTGACAAAGCCTGGTCACTACGTGCTGCACCACAGCTTCACTTACTATCAAGTCGACTGTAAGCTTGTTTGTCACTGTTACTTCATTAAAATAATTAAAAATTAAAAAAAGTTGTACATCAACTTCAATATAAGTTATTAAGAATGATTTAAAAACCTTGTCCTGGTCAGACCTTGATCAAGTTTATATGGAACCACATGAGAAGCACCAGTTTTCAAATAAAAAAGAATCATCGAAATCGGTTCACGCAGAAAAAAGCTATAACACATAAAAAAAGAACATAAAGTTGAATTGAGTACCTCCTCCTTTTTCAAGTCAAAACAATGTTATTAAAGGTTAGTATAGTGTATACCGTAAACCTTAGGTCCTCAGATCAACTAGCAGCCCAGGCACTTTTTTATCACAGGGGATGATAGTGCTTCGCATACAATACTATTTAATTTAATAGAAACAGAATCCAATTTACAGACCCACCATCTGTAAATTATTCTAATTTTATTTAAATACATACACATACTTATATAAAAGTAATTATATTATAAATATTGATAGTTATATAACATTATATGTGAATCACTTTCACTGCAATATAAGATTATATTAGAATAAAAGCATTTCTAACAAATTTATAGTTTAAAGAGCTCAAGATTAGTATTTCGTTTGTCAAATTTTTTTCACAAAATGAAGCAAGGCCAATGTTAAAAAAAGTAATTAAAAAACCCAACAAAAGGTTTACTGAAAAGAAAAACCTAACCCTCCTTCCGAGCTAGTTGAAGAAAAAAGTTAAGGTTTAATGTAATTTTAAAAGTTAACTTATTTATTTTGTCTTTTTTATATTGGACAATATAATATGAATTAACTACTAAAACAATCACAACTAGCTCATCAACACAGAAAATCATTGTTTACAAGTTTTCAACCTCTCACACAAGCAACATATTATGATTATGGCTTATTCAACTTAGCACTGGTACCATTTTTGAAGTAAGCCGATTTTTTTGTCTCATGATGATAATAGAAATGTATTTAGCAGGTACAATTTAGTAAACAAATGCTTTTAATTAAATAATTAGCATTCCATATGTTACAAGTTCTATTTTTAAATGTTTATTATGCAGTATATATTATATTTAAATTTAAATGTGTTGTATTACAAATTACAATGCTGTATTTTTGTGAATATATTATTATAGATAAAACTTTATGGAACATTTTTTTTTCGGTTTCAGGAAAGACTTAGCTTTACACTTAGCAACTGAAGTAGATTAATAGCTATGCATTTATTTATAATTTTTATTGCACTTAAAATGTACAATTGGTGGACTTAATGATTTTAGACATTCTCTACCAGCCAACCACTAGCTAAGCCGAGAAACTTAAACAGGTGCCATAAAAACATGAGAATTTCTATACTTGAATGTAAATATAAAAATATAATACACATTATATGTGTAAAACAAAAATAAACATATATATATATATATATATATATATATATATATATATATATATATATATATATATATATATATAACTACAAATAACCTAAATAATATACTCTATACCTGATACATATCATACAAATTTTTAAATAATACATAATACATACATTTTAAACATACTTACATATGAACATATTATACAAACCAAATTAAATACTTTATAATATCAAGCTACACATAAACAGAAACATTTAAATAAGAAAGTTTGTTGCTGGAAGAAGAAAGGCCTTTAAGATAATGGTGATCCATCACCATTATCTTAAAGGCTGCAACCGTAGTCGGTTTCCTAATATGAGGAGGTGATTTATTCCATGAATTTCTTGGTTGGTAAAAAAGTTAAGGTCAATTTAATTATTTGAAAATTTTAAGCTAAATAAACAGCTAGGTACTCAGTTAAGACAAATTCAGATTCTATTGTTTATTATTAATTATTTAACTTGTTTTCAAAGTTTTAAGCAAAAAGGCTGCCAGCATTTCTTTTGAAAGAACAAACTTCTAAAACCTTTTCTGAAATTTGGAAATATACATTGTATATTGTAATGAATAAATATATATTATGTGTTTATTAAGACTCATTTTTAATTTAATTATTGACAAGTAAACTCAAAAAATGAGTGCAAGTTCCATGTAAAATAAAACTAAAGAAATTAAAAATATGATTAATTTTTTTAATTTTTTTACAAGTAATTATTATTCACAATATCTGTAGAAAACAGACATTAATTAAAATTGAGCACACTATTGTTAGCTTCTGTATGATTTATTTTTGTATGTTGTATGTTGAAGTTCAGCTTATTTCTAAAAACTAAATTTTTACAAAATTAAAGTAAATAATTTGAATATTTCAGAGGATCAGAGGGTCCAGGAGATAGTGCATGTATATACAATAACCAAACACTCACCTGTTTACAGCCTGTGTTCCTTGATCCATTATATTGTTCTTGATTAAACACCCGGGAGTTTCAGATTTGTCCGTAACGTATTGTACTTCTACATCCTCCAAGATCGCAGCCCGATCTGCATTAGTTTGGTTCAACTTATCACTAGACAAACTTTTGGACCTATATCTAGAGTTTAATGGAACTAATGTTTTATCACCGAATGTGCCACTTAAACCATTCAATTTAGCATCCTTTTGAATATTATCGCTAATTAAATTAGATGACATTTCGCACAATCAAAACAAACACTGCGGATTCACCGTACGTAAACGTCAAATCAACGTAATGTCAATCTTGACTTCGCCGCGCTACTGACGTTTGTAGGCAGAAAATAAAACGTTTTGCTAGTGCCTCAACGTTGAATAAAATAAAGTTACTCGACCGAGTTGACATAATCATACCTCTCTGTTAAATATAAAACGGTATTTCAATTTTTTATTTAGGCGTATAGCCTGCTCGTGACATCATTACGTTTAAAAAACCGAAATGTATTTCAATGTCGGATAGGAAGGAACACTTGGAACGCAAGCGAGGGTGAAGGCGAAATCGAATCTATTGTGTAACGTAATCTACTTTGAATACAGTGCGAGCCGTCAATAAAACTAAACAATAGATAGGCTCACAATTCAATAGGAATCATAATAATAAGAACAGGAAATAGTCAGTAAAAATAAGTTAAAAAAAATAGGAAGTCTATATTATTATATAGGTACCTAACCATTTTTCACGAACTAATTTGTAGGTAGGTATGTACCATAGTACATCTTTTATTTCTCTATAAAATGATAAATTATGATAAACTTAATATCATGGGAAAATGCGAGATTTTTGTAATATTATTTTTGTATTTTAAAAACAGTAGTAAACAGATTAAATTACATATTTTTTATAATCTTTTAGTTCTTAAAATACAGAGCAAAGAACTTTTCGAGGCTAGGCAGGCTAAGTACCATTTAGCCTTAAAATGTTACGTGTCTAGTTTTTAAATGAAATAATCAACACAGTAAGTATTACCTCTAGCAATTATTAAACATTTCAACGACACAAATACGTAATAGTCTGTCCATGAACGACACCTTCGACCAATAACACAACGATCTGTGCTTGACACACACACTACACTACCCACACAAGTAATTTACGAATTTATGCGATTAGGAGATTAGGACGTTAATAGAAATATATAATAATAGGTAGGTACAATACGAGCTAATTACGGACAAGAGACGGATTACAAAAATGACTAAATTGCGTTCTGTTAAAACAGTTTTATTTCCCAAAATTAAGTATTTAAACACATATACCTAAGCATCTTCAAAAGTTCAAACTATGATTTGCTCACGTTTTACGAACCCTTTTAAACAAAACTGATTTTTATGGAACAATTTATTTACATTAAAAAACTTAACAGATCTAGAATATTTTTTTCAATAATTTTACTAAGCGCTGCTAGTACAGAAAAAGGTCCAAAATTAGTGGGGTCCGATGAAATAGTAGGTATAACTTTCAAAGCTCAAAATATCTGAAATGGTTGACTAGTTTACGAAAAAAAAATACAATCAATTTGTGAAAACGCCAAGGAAAATAGTTTCTAGAAAATATATTTTGATTTAGTTTATACATACACACAAGAAATAAAAAATTCAATGCAAATTAAATTTTTATGAAAATGCTGTGGAAAAAACGATTATTTTCACCAATTTATGTTACTTAATTTAATAAAAGAACAGCTTAATATGTTAGAAGAATATCTTTTTTATCCTTACCCTTTAAAATTAAAAATAAAATAGCCTTATTATTTTCCTATAAATTTTTTAAAAGTACTATGAAACCACAATTAAAATCCGCGTTTTCGATCAATTCAAAATTCAAATTAGGCAGCCGCTAGGCTTTCCAGAGAGAGGTCAAATCGCTGAGCGCTCTGCCTGACGTTTGCCATGCATCATAGTGCATACGAGAATATACGAAATATTATAATGTTATCGACAAGTCTTAGTACTTTAAAAAGTAAAATATTTTATTATTATTTTTGATGGACGACAATATTTATTTTAGAGTGACAGCAAACTATTATGATTCAGACGTAATTGGCAATAAAAACAAGCTATTTTTAGCAAATAAAAGAAAATGAAAAATTTTGAGAATTTTTCTATTTCTTTTAGTTAAAACTGCTAAATTTATCCTATACTAGGTAGTTTATATTTGAAAAGCTGTTCCCCGCGACTTCACTCGCGTGTTATTTGGGGTTTTAATTTTTTTTTTTGCGCGAAAGCCTAATTCTTTTTCTAATATAAAAGTAGCCTAAGTTACTTCGTAATATAACATCGGCTATCTGCCAGTGAAAGTCCCGTCAAAATCGGTCCAGCCGTTTCGAAAACTAGCCGGAACAAACCGACAGACACACAGACAAAAATTTTAAAAATTGTATTTTTGTTATAAGTACCTTGTTTTGTTATAAGTATATATACTTTCATATGCATTTAGTAAAAAGCTGTAATTTTGACATTACAAACAGACACAGAAATTTTGTATAGATTACACATAAATAAAAAGGGTTATGTGCTTATTAGTTTGTGGTTTAACTTCAGGCAAAGTAAGAAAATCTGTGAGTGTGAAAAGTGCTGATGAGATAAGAATGGAAAAACGTAAAAGTAATGAGATTTTTTTTTAAATAATTTTAATTGACGTTGTCTTTTTAACTACAGGAGCGAAAATGTGCAGTTATAGAATGTAAGTCAAAAGATAGGAAACTGATTGAACATTCTTGAGCAGCAGTATTAATAAAAAAGACGATAATAAAATGTGCATAAATCAGGAAGTTAAAGCAAGAATTATATCTGCTGGTGCTGGATATATCCAGCTTCATATTGTTCTTGCCAATGGAGACATCCCACCGTACCTCTGCGGTCGTATGAAGCAACGGGTAATTAAGTTTGCCAATTGTGAAAACAAACTTTATTGTATGGTTGAGACTAGGAAAGAATAGGTGGAGTATGTAAAACTCATCGGAAATATGTCGTCTCAAGGAATACCAATGATAGCCGTAATTGCAGACGCATGTTGAGTAAACGTTCATAGGGCACCAGCTATGATGCTTCCTCTAACGCTGCAACAATTGGTGAACAGCACAGTAAACAGGACTTGTACTGTGGGGTGAAAAATTAATTAAAAAATAAAAACAAATATTCTGTCACATGTTCTCGATCCAGAAAACAAAGGGGAATTGAACCAACAGATCATATTATGTCATTCAAGAAATTATGTGGGCTCAATAAAGGTACAAGGTGTTTGTAAGACCATGGACCTATTCTTATAAATACTTAACCTTATAATATTACAGTTGGTGAAGTCCCCAGAACAGAAAACCTATATTGAAAGGATCACTGTTTTACAGAGTCCAAACTCGATCTTGGAAACTAGAAGAAAAGTTGACAGCTTCATGGTTTGCCAGTTTGCATGCGGTTTGAAAATACCAACTGTGCTCTCCTTGCTAAGCATGTAGCTACGATTTAAGCAATGTGCCATCTTTAAAAAATAGAAAAAACAACGAGCGTAAAACGTCCCAAGAATTAAAAAGGGCTTTAAATGTTAACATATGTATCTACATGACTGTAGTTTACATATATACCAAAAATTTCCATTTCTGGGTGCTAGTCAATACGGCAAAAATGAACTTGGTTCTTTAGAAGTGAAATGATCATGATCCGATTATAATATGGAACCCGAATAAGCAATCACAATAAAGAAAATTGGCTTTTGGTTGTATAAATCGGAAGTTTTCACAATAAACACAAAAAGCAAATGGCACCACAAAGTTTGGCCAGTTACGAACTGGTCAAAATATGTGTATATTTGCCTGTGGATAGGTGGCGGTAAAATTAAATTCATACCATCGGTACATGTATGGCAATACAGTCGCAAGCCCACTCATCTTCGTGGCGTCCTATACAAAATTATTTTGTAATATTGCTAAATCCGCACCCCACTCTCAAATCATAATAATATGAACATTATTACCATGCCAAATACCAAATGCGATTGAAAAGTTTCGCCAACTAACTTTACTTACTAATACTTGTAATTAATAATAATTCAAATATCCTCATACCAACAAAGAAAGAAAAACGGAGCGCTGCGTACATTTCAAGGGATGCAAAAACCAAGCCAAAACCATGCTCACCATATTGCAAGAACATGGACTCAGGGTACATGTATGTATCTAAAATCATTTGCAACATTTAACATGCTTTTAGGTGCATCCATGTGTGGATCTATCAGTAAGATTTTACGGGCTAATAAAGAAAAAAAAAATATGTATGTGAGAGTGCGTGTCAAGAAGTTGAGCATGGTTTTAGCTTCACTTAACAGGTACGCAGCGCTCCGTCTTTCTTCCTTTGTTAGTCTGCGCAAGTATCAAGTTTAGTTATATAATAGTAATATAATACATAGAATATAGCGGAAAACTGTTCAATGTGTGCATGCTTAAGTCAGCTTGCAATTCGAATACATATTATCTAAATTCGAGCACGTCAAAAATGTAACTACGTCTTTAATATCAATAGGTTGGAAATATTTTAAATATCTCCTGATAATATTTTATGGCATTCAAATTCTTTTTAAAGACATTTATATTTTGTTTGAGTAATGACTCGGCGACAGTAGAGGAGGAATTTAATGACTTTGTAGTCAAGATCGGGTTATATGTCGGGAAAATATTGTTCAAAAGCTGATTTCGTTAAATTATTGTTAAAATTTAATTAAAAGTTTGAATTGTGCTCTTCAACTGTCTTATCGTAGTCGCTACGTCAGGCTAGCGAATAGACAGAGAATTAGTTATAGTTATGAAACATAGAATCCATCACCTGATTTCATCTCGTGGGTGTAATAAATGATGTTTTTTTTAATAGAATAAGGGTGTGGCCGGTGGAGAAAAAGGGGAGATCGCCCGTCGGGCAAAGGTGTTCTTCCCGGGGAGCGGCCAACGCTCCGAGTGGTAGTTCAGAGCTATTCTATATATATATATACTGCTTTAACTTCGGAACTTTGTTAGCGCGATTTAGGCTTCGATATGTTTCGCTTGTGGCGCGACGACAGCGTCGCCACGTCACCCCCCTGCTCAGACCGAAGGTCGATAGTGCAGTCTGATTGCCGGTGCGTCCTTAATGCCGGTGAGGAATGCATGCTGTGTGCGTAAGGGCAAGTGAGTACTACGCACTTGCAAGTGATG